GTGTGAGAAATGTGTGTTGAAGAAGAACGACAGCACTCTCCATTCGAACCCAGCTTTCCTCGGTACACTTGCAGTTGAAGATCGACTCTTTACCTTGGCAGAGGATAATTCCGACTTCGGTGTAGAGTTGCCTTTCAACGCTTTTCCAGCGTCTCCGTAGGATGGTTGGAAAAAGTCCGGAGTAGTGACGGTGCTTCGTTCACACCACGCTCACCCCTCGGTTGGACTCGCATGAGCTGTGAGCCCGTCAGAGTTCCACTCAGATGTGGAAGATTCCATAATTCCCACGAGACTCGGAAGAACTTCGGATCATGTCTGGAACCTCCTGTTCTCTCCAGCAACTTTTCTGTTCGGTTCTGCCCTCCGAACTGAACTGCTCTCCCACCGTACTGGTTGGAACTAGGAAGTGTCGACATTTAAAGAGTTCTGTTTCCGGTTCATTTGGGAAGTCCTGATTGGCTGAAAGAGCTAATCAGGGGTGTGCTTTTTGTGATGTAAGAGGTTATTAAAAGTCAAGGAAAAAGATTAAGTTGTTTAAGAACAGACAGAAAATGTTTTGAAGAAACCGAGACTTTGTGGAGTCAGTTCTACTTCTATCTGTCTGAAAAAGTTAAACATGACATTTCTTTCCAGTAAACATGTAGTTGACCGAAACTTGACTTTTGACCGACTTACACTTGCTCATTTCAGACAGAAGATCAAGAAAATGAATAATTACTCTGTAACAGACACTAACTAGATTTCTACTTTGAATGAGGATTAAAAATCATTTATACTGTTTCACAGTTGATTTAAAATGAGTAGTTCACTTCAACATTTAAAATGGTTTGAACTAAACACACTTTGATTATCAAGACATTTGTAAAATAGTAATGATAATAAAAAAGAGAGTGTTCTTTCAATTGATCAGTGCAGGACACACTTAGAAAGTCTCTGGATGAACTTAATTTTGTGTTTCTGGACTCAAATCAATGAAATGACAGTTCTTGTTTCAGGAAGGCCCTCAGGGCCAGATTTGACCTGAGGCTTAGTTCACTACAGTAGTGAACCAACCAGTTTGCTGCTGACAACCAAAACCAGTTGCTCACATGGTCAAGAAGGACCATCAGCCTAACAATGGATCATTAGCACACTTATGGCTCACTGGTACATGTTCATCTTTAAGGCCCTATGTTCACGGACACGATGGGTGGAAACGTAGGTTTTTCATATGTTAATTAGAGGAAAATATTTGCGTTGACACGGTCGGAATTTGGGTTTACATGCATCCGGAGGATCTCTCCCCCCCCGCCCTCCCGAATCCGCTGTAGTTATCATGCCAGGTCATTAGATAGCGCTGTGAATTTTGTACCTTCACCTAATTCGCATGTGTGCTGCTTCGGCACGCTCTGTTCTAGAATTGCGCCGCTCAAGGTGGCTGCATGTTGGAGCAGCTCTGTTACTTTCATTTTGAGATTTTGCTTTTGCAAACTTTAATTCCTCTTTTTCTGGATGTAAATCACATTTTTTTGGATGATTGTTTCCTTTGGTATTGGATGCTGCGCAGCTGGAAGGATTTTTACTGAAGCTTTTTAGTTTTCGACATTTGTTATGATGTGTAACCATGGCAACAAGGCAGTTTTCTACAACCGCCGCTGATTAACATCTCAAAAGCTCAAATAATATCTCAGCTACTGCCCCAAATCTCAATTGAGTTGAAAAGGATGTTCTATGGACGCATTCTCATCTACCTGCCAGCTGTGCTCGAGTGCCTGACCACTGAGATCCTGGAACTAGCAGGAAACGGTTCATGACAGCGGAAGGACCGGACCGTCCCTCAACACCTACAGTTGGCTGTCTGCAGTGACGAGGAGCTCAGCAGGCTGCTGGGAGGAGTGGCCATCGCTCTGGGAGGAGTTCCGCTTGGCACTCAGGCGATCCTACAGCCTGAGGGTTACCCAGAGGCTAGCCAAGTCTGGGTGGACGGGTCGGACAGCATCTGCAGCCAGTTTCTTAGGATCCACTGTGGGATGGACCTTTACAAGAGATCCTTCCTGCCTACATCCATCAGTATCTATAACATCTCTTAATGAAATGAGGATAACGAGTTACAACAACAAACAATTTCCCTTTGGGATTAATAAAGTATTTTTGAAATTGAATTGAATTTCCTGTGAGCTAAAAAGCTCAGCTAACAACGTAACAACAAGTTAAAGCTGGATTTTGGCTGGATTGTGGATAAGAATCGACAGATTTGACGCCAAGCGGGACCGTTTCGTCTAACAGATCCACACCGGTTGCTGAGTGGACCAGAACCGAGTCGACGATGTCGGACTTCACTCCGTGATAATCAGTAGCTGATTTACAGCAGGTAAATCAATGTATTATGAAATTCTTTATCAAAAGGGCTCGTGAAACGGTCGGC